TTTACAGTCCAATCATTTGCACTCAATATTATTCGTAGCCCAGTTGGTAAATTAATGTATTTTACAGATCACACGTATCACAGTCGCGCCGATTATCTGGCCGATATAGAGCTCATTGCTACCAACTGCGAGCAGTATAATGGCAGCGAGGCGCAGTACACCAAGTTTGCCAAGAAGATGGTTGAGTATGCCCACTCACAGCTGGAGGAGGTAAGTTGTCTGACAACACAAACAAAAGATTTGCTATTCAACTATTCAAACACACTTTCATAAAGTTTGCTGATCACTGCGCCCAGCTGGAGGAGAATATAATGAAGACACAGGAGCGGGCCAGGGCAAATGCGCCTGAATTTGAAGAGGCCTGGGGCAATGATGATTACGATTTGAGTCGCAGTCGCGCCAGCTCGCCCGGTGATGACTACATTGACGTGGAGGGCCACGGCGGACTGGGTCTGATTACACCCAATTCTATACATCGCAGCATGGGCGCGGACACCAATCTATCCCACGGAACGGCGCCAATACGTAGGCCACCGATGCCAGCAGGTAGCGAGGTGAAACGCGGTCGTGGGCGTCCGCGCAAGCAACGCGATCCCGTGGAAGAGGGTATGTCAAGCCAATGCTCTGTGCTATATCATAATAAACTAATACGATATCATATTGAACTAATACGATCAAAAGGCCTAGTCAGGAATTGGACCTTGCATTGTACACATGCATCAATTCATATACACATACATACACACACACATACTCCTTGGTCTTGTTTACTTTTGGTAATGCTTATGCTTCTTCTATATGCTCCTTGTATCATATATACGTACATATATATAGATATATATATCTATTTATGTGCATATACATACGCACACATGATCCTCCGGTTATGGTCTAGAGTGTTTGTTCAAATTAAAAACTTTTACTAATCCAAAAATACAATGCTTAAACAACAGACAACTACTATTCAAATTATATCTGTTTAATAAGTATCTAGTTATTTAGTTTAAAAAAAATCCAAAACAGAGACTATAAAAAGTAAAAATATCTTAGATGATTTTTTTGTTACATGTTAAAATACAATCTAGACATTTTAGTTGTTCATTGTTCATACACAATATGTTTTATATATAGTTAATGTTCGTGCGTGCTGTTATATATGTAGAAATACTAAATATATATATATATATATATATATATATTAGTATATTAATATATTAGTCCCATACATATGAGAAATCAGAATCCTGTAGATGGATAGTAGGTAAAATCATGTAACATTTAGCGCTCGGAAACTCGAACAAGTATTTTGATTGAGCGCGTCAAGAGAAAATAATTGAGTCGGTCGACTCAACAGAAAATTAGTTCGAGCTCACTCCAAACTCGTTTGTTTCAATCGTGTGTGAGCTACTCATTTTTTTGTATTGTTTCGAATTTGCACAAAACGAAACGACGATTTTCACTGCCGGTTATCTCGAACATGTTGCTGACTCAAGCTGGTCGAAGTTCTTTTGAATGAGTATCTTTGGCTCTAGTGACTCGTTTATTCGAACATGTTGCTTACTCTAGCTGATCGAACCCCGTTTGAATGAGTATCTTTGGCTCTAGTGACTCGTTCATTCGAACAGTGCTTAGCTTTTGAACCGACAGTGGAATTAGAATTCTTAGCCAAATGCACCCATTCACGTGATTAGATTAGGATTTATAGTTAATTTTTAATAGATGCTGCTATCCAGTTTAGTTTAAGATTCGATTGCATGAACTCATACAAGCTGTTGGATAAAGGCGTACATAAGTTCAGTCATCAATGTCAGCTCCCCCGAACCAATATGTTCTTGTGTGCAGCGATATAGTATAAATATGTTAGGCGTAATACACGTTCTTCACTCGACTGTTCCCGTTCAAGAGAAAACCAGAAACTGCAAATTGCTTTAAATCAATGTATATGTGCTCGCTGTTTAACGATAATGCAATTACTTGCTCGTGATTATTTGATTGTCAACATTTTTGTTTGTTCAATTCAAAGCAACAAAAAAAGCTAAATACACGAAATTCTAATTTCATAACTGCAAGCAGATTTAAATGTTTTCTAATTACTCGTTTATACCCTATACAAATACAAAACTTGCAAAACGCAAATGCAAACTTTTATTTTCTAGTCAAAAACCCAAATATGGTTAAACGTGGTCGGGGCCGTCCCCGAAAGGACAGCCTTGGCTCTAATATGAGTCAGACGCAAGCTTACTTTCTGGACGAAGGTAAGACTTATACGGAGTTTAAGAAACTAAGCGGACCACAGCTATAAACCGCGCGCACACACACAAATACACACGCACAATCACATGCACACACACACACATACGCACACCCAATCGTTTTATTATTATTATTAACTTTAAACACGTTTTTTAAAACAATTTTTCGAACTTTCTACACACGTGCAAAGCATTCACACGTATCCCACTAAAGCTTTCATACTAAATTTTGCATTGGTTTGGATTTGGCTTATTTAATAATTATTTAACGAAATATAATACATTTATTATGAATTACATAATAAGGTTTTTAGCATGTTAACAAATTTTTATCAAATATCTATGATTTTTCATGGTTACATTTTTTGTAGTTTTTGTATTTGATTTAATTTTTGCCTTGCAGCACACTTTTTTTTTTTAACAATTCTTAAATTAAATATTTTATTAAGCTATTTATACATCTGTAGAGCTTTTCGTAAAACTTTGATAATTTCCTTTTAAAAATTAATTTTAATTATTCATGCTTTCTTCTCTATATTGATTGAATATCTAAATTTGATCAGTTTTTTAAAATTAATGATTTATTTATTGAAAAATCAAAATTAATAGTTCCCCAAAATACTGGCAAAACATTTCTTAGAAAATGCCGCACTCCCGGAAAAAAATGTTGAATTCTTGTTCAATTTAATTAATTTATTTTTTTTGTTCAAAAAATGCATACCTTCCTAAAAATATTTAATACAATTTGGTTAATTTATTTTGTAATTTAAATTTAATTTTGCATTAAAGTTTCTTTCAGTTCTTTGGTTAAATATCATTTGAAAGCATTCCAATATTAATAAATGCCCTTCTCATTTCTCGTAACCGAAATATTAGATTTGCAATGCTCCACAGACGATGATGAAGATGATGAGGAGGACTTTCAGGAGGTGTCCGAAGATGAGAATAATGCAGCCCACATATTGGATCAGGGCGAGCGCATGCATGCGCCCAACGATACCATGGACTATATTGATCCCAAGAACATCAAGACGGAGGTTGACATTGACGCACAGCAGATGGCAGGTGGGTTAATTGGGCAACGATGCTCAGGTGTGCACAGTCTTGTGTGTTTTTGTGTGTTTTTAATCTTTGAATATATATGATTATCAATTTGTATTGTAATTTTATGTAACTTTAAATCTTCAATCTAAATGTTTTCATCTGTGTGCTTCGATTCTGTTTCTACATTCACGTATTTACTTTTGGTTTAATAATAGAGGAGCAATGCGGCGAGGATGACAGCCAGCAAGCAGCTGAAGCTATGGTGCAGTTGAGTGGCATTGGCTACTACGCTCAACAGCAGCAAGGTTCATATTACCCACAAATTCTCTTGCCCTATTCACTGTTATTTTTTAATATAATCATAGTCAAAGCGCACGTCTTGTTATTTCGAATAACCTTTCTAAAGCCCGTCTATGGCCGTAGCTAATTGTTTTTCATTCGATTTTTCAGATGAATCTATGGATGTAGATCCCAACTATGATCCCTCGGACTTTCTGGCCATGCACAAGCCGCGTCAAAGCTTTGGCGAAACCTACAATGCGCAGGGTGCATTCTCCGACTTCATGTCCCAGGTTCAGGACGACAGTGGACAGTATAATCCGGCCGAGGCCAGCACTAGTGCTGCAGCCGCCAACATGTCTGCACAGGAAGAAGAAATGCCCTCCACGAGCAATGATAATGGCATGGGCATCGATGAGGATCTGGATATATCCGATAGTGACGATGAGGACAATGGCGGCGTGCGCATTAAGAAAGAGGTCTTTGATGATGCCGAACTGGCTGCCCAACAACATCAACAATCTTCGCAACCATCGCAAATATATCTACTGGATGCATCCAATGAGCCAGTGCAGCCTGTTGACTATCAGCCGCAGCAGTCGGACTTCCAGCCGACTCAGGAGCTCGAGCAGCTGCACGCCCAGCAACCAAATATGCAACAGCAGACAGAGCAGCCGCCGTCACAAAGCGAAAACGATTACGACTGGCTGACTTTCTAAATTCAAATGGATTTAATTTTATAAACATTAACTTTGAAATATTGAATGATTTGTTCAAACTTGATTGTCTACGACAATTGGAGTTTATATATGTTTGTTTCTTGTCTGAGCAAGGCTTAACAATTTATATATTCGACATACAAAATTACATATAGATTTAACAATTTATAAATGCTGTAAAACGATTGTTCCTAAAACATTCGGAGTAACTGAAGTAAAAAGTGTTTAGTAAAAAGATCTTTATAAATTATAATTTGAATATTCAATTAAAAGTCCAATAATTCTTTAATATTTTTGTTTTTGCGTAAAGATTGATTGCGAGATTCTATGAAAAGTTCATATATCTTAGAAATAATTGATTATTCTTGAAATATACACTTACAATTTTGTTTTTGTATTTATTTAATAGGAATATAGTAATTTCCAAAATTGATTGCCTGTTTTTTTTTAACCGAATAAATGTATATTTCGCCGTTTAATTTTGTATATATAAAGCCAACTTTTGTTGAATCATGTAATGGTAATATACATATAGTGTGGATATATGTACATACATTTTTGATAATATCGATAAATGCTGTCTTTACATTCAACTGGACTTCATCTATAGTATTTGAATTGTTTTGCAAAATGGGTTACGTAAAGTTGAAATATTTGTATAGTCATACTGCGGAATTATATTTGCTACCAACTGGAAATTAGAGCAAAAGTTACTTAAAGCAAGTTACGTAAATAATATCAATTTTCAAAAAAAAAAAAAAAATTCGGTTTTAAATTACAATGGATGCTACAAAGGAGCCTGCCATGAATAAAAACAATACAGGCGAGTGCCTTGGCTTAGTGGAGGTCACATATCCCATTGCGGTCAAGTACTGCGGACACTGCTCCATGCCCATCGAGTATTGTGAGTTTTACTCCGAGTATGACAAATGCAAGGAGTGGCTGGCAAAGAATTATCCCGAAGACTATGAGAAACTGCAGCTGAGAGAGGCCGAAGATGATGCTGCTCCTGGTGTGGATGCCGAAAAGAAACGCCAGAAACGCGGCGGGAAAGGACTGCTGCGCATCAAGAAGGACAACAGCGATGATGATGCACCCAAACGCATTCGACTTTCATGCACAATGCGTGGCAAGAACAAGCGGGTGACCATTGTTGCTGGCCTGGGCGCATTCAAGATCGATTTACGTGCCGCGGCCAAGTTTTTTGGCAGTAAATTTGCCTGCGGCTCCTCGGTGACCGGCGACAATGAGATTGTTATACAGGGCGATGTGAAGGATGAATTGTTCAAGGTAATACCCGAAAAGTGGTTGGAGGTGCCAAAGGAGGCAATGGAGGATTGTGGCGAGGGCAAAAGGAGTCATCAGAATTAAACGAAAAGAAAGGCTTGAGCTCAATTAAAAAAGCATCATAAAGAATTTAATATGTAATAGCTCAGTTTACAGATAAACGCAATAAAGGTATGGGTCCTAAATTAACTTGCATGTCACAGTCGTCGTTGTGGTTACGCACACCACATGCTCCTATATTGCTTTCCGCGAATTGGGGTTTCATATGTTTCTGTCTGCACTCGCAAAGGCAGCTTGCAAAGCATTGGGTATTGGATTACAATAGCTTCAAATGGCCGGTCACCCGATCGATGTCAACTGCCGCAGCGGGACCGACGGCCAGCACAGTCTTTGAATTGGGCTCGATTTGTGTGCGTCCAGCATCGCGTATAAGGCATGTGTTCAGTTGTCTCTGCTCCGCGGCCCGCTTGATGGCCATCAGTTCGGCTTCGCTCTCGACGCGAACTGCAATCTTGGCACAACCACAGTTTTCCCAGGCACGCAGCAGGCGTGGCGTACGGGTCGTAGCCCTTTGGTATGCCCCAACGGCTCCATGGGAGCACTGGGAGGCAATCTTTCCCTTGCCCATCTTCAGGTCGTTGCGCACGACCAGTACCATTTTATAGTTGTCGTTAAAGCCGCCATAGGTCTGTAAGTAAAGTTCGCCTTATGTCAGACGGTGTTAAGCGAGTTGTCTTCTCTTTCACGCACCTTGTCAGCTATTGCGGCAGCTGCGCCTCCCTCCTGCGTCTCTGTTGACGGAGTGTCGTCAATTTTAGCGCACGCTTCCCCACGTTTTAGGGCATATTTGTAACCGACGAAAAATGATATCATCACAGCCAAGCCATTTATAATTTGTGTAGTGTCTAATAGTTTATCACCCATTCTATTTAATTAATTATCTTAAATTAATTATCTTATGTTCTACTCTTTATAATATGTGAACAACGCTTGCACACCGGCACCGATATATATATATATATTTCAAAATATCGTGAAATAAATCGAAGTTTTACAAGCTGTTATGCTTAACATGATTCTGTAATGCCTGTGTTACCGCTACCCGCTGTTTAGTTATCGAATCGATAGCAATAAGAAACCTATCGAACAAAGAGTCTGGTAGCTACCCCCAAACTCCCTTAGTATTTACATGCGTTTCTAGTATTTATTGCTTGCAGTTTTAGGATTTCAGTACTTTTTCGATTTAGTTACACTGCTATCCCTACTGACGTGTCGGACCAACGCTTCGTCCGTCCGGCGCTATACAACCTGTCATTTTTTTGTCTTCGTGGAACTAGAGCTCAAATTGTATTTTTGCAAGTTTGCTTAAGCTTCCATCTAGCTTTACAAATTGTTCTTAAAAACGGAGCAATTACAAAATCGCAACCATGGGCTTAGCTAGCATGTTGCAAGTAGATGAAATGCTGGGCGATTTTAATAGAATGAACAAACGCCAGGTAAGTACCGCAGACGCCGCCTGTTAGTTAAATACTAAAGAAAAACTGAACAATTTTTAGTCGCTCTATCAAGTGCTTAGCTTTGCTATGATAGTCTCCTCGGCGCTAATGATATGGAAAGGCCTTATGGTAGTCACCGGCAGCGAATCGCCAATTGTGGTCGTGCTGAGCGGCAGTATGGAGCCGGCATTTCATCGGGGTGATCTGCTGTTCCTCACCAACTACAAGGAGGAGCCAGTCCGCGTGGGCGAGATTGTGGTGTTCAAAGTAGAGGGACGAGACATACCCATTGTGCATCGTGTGATTAAATTGCACGAAAAGTGCGTCCAATTATTCTGCTTGAGTGTGTGTGCAAAGTAATTCATTGAAAATTGTATCAAACAGGGAAGACGGCACGGTCAAGTTCCTGACCAAGGGCGACAACAACAATGTGGATGATCGAGGACTATATGCGCCAGGGCAGCTATGGCTAACCAAAAAGGATATTGTGGGGCGTGCTAGGGGGTTCTTGCCCTACGTGGGCATCATCACAATTTTCATGAACGAATATCCGAAAGTTAAGGTGAGTTCAAAATCTATTTGCCCGCGCTGTGAGCTATCCAATAATTGTGTATCTTTCATTTCACAGTGGGCTATACTCTCGATTCTGGCAATATTTGTTCTGCTGCATCGAGAATAGAAGCCGTCTATATTTGTAGTTACAATTTAAGTAGGATCTGCGCGCATAGTGATGCCAGGAATGATGTTGCACAATCTCGAGCCTGTTTGCATTTCAGTTTGATCTATCCAAAATGATGTGCATTTGTACTTTGTTTTTAATAAGACACCCCCAAAACAGAAGAACAACACATTAGGTTCAAATTAAGAGTCCGGAGCTGAATTTCAATAAATGATTTTTTAAATACGTATCTATCCAAATGATAATATTATCAAATATTTGCTTCATATTCCAATAAGACACTTTTCAGATCTGCGCCCCATCCATATTTTACCGCGCCGCTTTTGGAGACAATACGATGGCAGGGTATTATAATCGATACCTCGTTCTTTGCCACAGCACTGGCCACGGCCCGCACAGCCTTGGGACGGCCCGCCAGCTCAGCAAGCTCTGTGTAAGTGCATGTTCTGCCGGTTTTTATTTTGACCAATTCACCCCACACAGCCAACTGTAGATCTGTGCCCAGAACTGCAACATCGATGGCAGCAGTGTTTACGTTTTCGTAAAACAGCCCGTTACTGTGCTTTTGAATGGCCACTTCATCCGGAACAAGCTCCACCTTGGGCCAACGTCGACGCGCTTCCTCTAAGCTCTTGTTATCTTCCTTCTGCACGAAATACAATAGGCAAATTGCGTCGCAGGCTTTGCCGCCCTTTTCAATCGGTGTCAGTCCAAGCAATATCCTTCCAAATTTGGTGTCTATAAAACCATATTTAATATGTGCAGGAACTCTTTGAAGTGGCATCAAGGAGACCCGTAGATGCTTCGATATCCACATTTCGAGTATCTTATATTTAAAAGTTGTTTATTCGCAATACAGTGTTACCGCAGTTTGGTACTGCAAAAATGCCAGCTACGGTATTAAATATATAGCAATATTACTTTGAAAAAAAAAAAGTTAATTCTCACCATTTTCGTAATTAATTTGTCTACTTACTATTAAGAGGTTGGTATTGATTAATCAGAAGTATTTTGCTTAGCTGGTTTGCTTTACTGGGCTTTTTAAATTTAAATCAAGTGGTTGTAGCCCTGGTTAATGAACTATGTGGAAGAATCGATATATCGATTCTCTTCCACTCGATAGTATGCCGCAGGCTTATTCAAATAACCAATATTGTGGAAATCGATTAAAATTTTAAAACCTTTTAACTAGATGACCGGCTAGAGTCTTTAGAAAAATAAAATGAATACGACATGTAAAATGTAAAATTTTAGCATTAGTGTACTGGTATGGTACACTTTGTTTTTATTTATATATATTTATTTATAGTGGGAGGGAACCAGTCTTTATATGTAAATTAAGAGAACGAAATAAGTACACAGCGGATTAGAGTAACACCAGGGGAACAATTATAATTAAAATGAGCGAGAGAGAGAGAGAGAGAGAGTGAGAGAAAGAGAGAGAAAGAGAGAGAGAGAGAGAGAGAGAGAGAGAGAGAGAGAGAGAGAGAGAGAGAGAGAGAGAGAGAGAGAGAGAGACTGAGAAAGTTAGAATTAAAGAGGGTTGGCCAGATCAAACAATAAACATATCGCTTATTCACTTGTAGACGCAATTTTTAAGGAAATGATGCAGAATTATTCTGCGTAGAAAAATTTGATATGCACTCTATACTCTTCAAGTGAGATGATAGTAATTTTTACTCTGCAAAGTTTTACTGCATTGAAAACTTTAAAGGTAGTTTTAAAGTAAATGGCCAAAATTTATATTTTCATGCAAATCATGTGGTACTTTGTAGAGTTCGATGGATCAGCAATTTTTAATGTGGTCTTAAAATCCTATCTATCAAGTATACAAACCGACTTTGATGAAGGCATTTGATTAATTTTGCTGTTTTTTTAATGTTTTCAAATTAGTCAAAATTTCAAAGCAGCCAGCCTAGCGGCAAATACCCAAAAAAAAAAAAAAAATTAAAATTGTTGTACACATGTGATTTAAGCGAACTTCTGTGATACAGTTTTGTAATCCCCTAATTCATCAAAACTATATTGATAAGAATTAAATGTCTATGTGACAAATGACATTGAAAATTTGTTTTTCATTAACGGACAGTTATTGCAACATACATTTGAGAAAAGTAGCTTTGCTTTTCATTTTTGAAAAATAGAAGTCTTATGCTAGCTCTGATTTAGGGTCAAAATTTGTGATTTAATTTGTGATATAGTTAAACTGGGATATTAGTTTTCAGATGTTACTTAAAGATCAACAATTTTCAAATAATTTTATTTATTTATATCTTTTTTGTGTTGTACAGTTATAATTATATTATAGTTAGGACTAGAATATATCTATATATATAGTAGATACATCAAGATTGAATACCAATTTGTTCAAACACAAAATAAATAACTATTGTTCTTGTATCGTAGAAGGCATTGCTTACAGTTAAACAATAGTAATACTACATACGATTACGAGTACGAGTACATTATAATGCAATGTGTTTCCGATTGAGCTAAGCTATAGCTTGCGATTCTCCTCTAGCCATCGTAGCTTTCGTATAGATTTTGATTTAGTTTGACGTACTTGTTTTTCTTTTTCAGTTGAAAGTCAATTTCTCGGCGTGCTACAGTTAAGTGTATGAAAGTAGTTATATATAACCCTGAGTTTAGTTTATGCTAGTCTAACATTCAGCTGCAGCATCAACGGCTAGTTAGTAATTTAACAGGTCCGTAACAAAGGTGGCGCCTCGATTCTACAGATGCTAGTATTTGATTTGTTGATTTGTTGATTTGTACAAATTGCAAATGAACTTATTTAGTATGCACATTTTTGTATTCATTTAATTGGCTACACGTACGACATAATATTTTTAATTTAAGGTTAAATATATTTGTTTTTTTTTTTTTTTTTACTTTTTGCCTTTTTTTAATTACTTATTTATCACAACAAAATGCGCTCGACATTTGGCAATTCTCACACAACAGCAATAATAACAACAAAAAACAAGAGTGATCAGGTCGGGTGCGTCCGACCTGGAGATACCCTGTACACGGCACCGAGATCCTTGCCACTGTGCTTCTCCTTTTCCTTGAATAAGTCAGCCGTTAATAGTTCGTTTCCTAATTTATTTCAAAGGATAAAAATGGCCATCAAATGAGTGGGTTATGCCCCAACAAATGTGTTTTTTTTTAAATCAAAAATGTGAAATGTTCTTGATCTCTTTACATCTCTCACACATAATTTGGTGTGTATACCAAAGATATAGTCAAAAGATCCAATCTTAAATCGTTGCTGATCGAGTTTGTGAATGCAGCTACTTTTAAAATTTGAATACTCTTTGAGCTCGATGCATTCATACAGACAGACGGACAAACAGACTGTCAAATAGATGGACAGGCGGAGCTTGATCGACTCGGCTTTATGGGATCGCAGATAACTTCTTCTGCCTGTTTGCATAAAAACAGTAAGCCCTTTTTTATATACATTTGTGTACAGGGTATATTAAAAAACAAGAACAACGACAACAACAACAGCAACCACCACAGCAGCAGCAACAACAGCAACAATGGAAATTGTTCAACTCTGTTTGGCTGCGGCCGTTGTTGTTGCTGCTGTTGCTGGCAGCTCATTGCTGGCCAATTCCGAAGCCTTCAACTCGGGCTGTTGTTGTTGTTGTTGCTGCTGTTGCTGTTGCTGCTGTTGCTGCTGTTGCTGCTGTTGCTGCTGTGGCTGCTTTTCAGTTATCACGGGTGAGCTGTGCTGCGTTAAAATGTCCGCCGGAATGAGACCCTCCTTGACGCGCTTCTTCTGCTTCATGCGGCGGTTCTGAAACCATATTTTGACCTGTTGATTGAAAATATACATTAGATTGATTCGAACTTGATATTGTGGCAGTGACACTAGTTGAATGTGGCTTGGATTAATTATGGGCAACTTTGGTGCGAAACTAGGAAGCTTCATTAATCAATGTGGGTGACCGAACTTCCGGTCGATTGATATCTTCGTTTATATCTATCCATATTAAATGATCGATTATTGAGTGAAAGCTTAGACTTTTTCACAAATTGATGGTAATATTCACTTGTTCTAGTCACTTTTTTTTCATTTGTTTTGTTTTGTTCAGCAGCTGGTTTGTCTATTACAATGTTATTATTTTTGACAGCTTTAAAAGCTCATGAGAGCTTTAATTTCTCAAACTCAAGTACGAAGTGAAAATTGCCTGTTTTAGCTGACAGTTTTTCAGCTTTAAAAGCTTTGATTAATGTTGAAAGCTTTGAAGGCTCGTGAAAGCTTTAATAATCAAAACTCAAATACGAAATACGAACAAATAAATTCAATTTTTAAGTGCCTGTTTTTCGGTGGTCATATCAGCTTTAAAAGCTTTGATAATTTTTGACTGCTTTAAGGCACTTGAAAGCTTTTAAAGCTTTCTGATATGCAATGATATTTTATTGAACTCGGCTTATACTGTGTTTTGTTATTATTTTCAATTCTCTCTAGTCTGTTGGAGCTTTCTGTTTTTCCTAAATAGTCTTATGTTCTTTTACCACTTTCAGCTTGTGTCATCAGTATTTAAATTTAGAATAAGAAATTGGTTTCAGCTGTGACCCACCTGCGTCTCGTTTAGCTGCAGCGTATTGGCAATCTCGATGCGGCGAGCGCGCGTTAAGTAACGATTAAAATGGAACTCCTTCTCCAGCTCGGTCAGCTGTTTGTTTGTGAAGTTGGTGCGACCCGAGTTGTTCGTGGAGGATAGACTGCAGCCGCTGAGGCCAACCCCGGCACTGGCACCGGCAGCACCGTTGCCGCTGGCTAGGCCCACGCCCAGGCCGCTGGATGCGCTGCCCGCGGCCGCATTGTTTGACAGCAGCAGTGGATTCTGGATGGGCAAGACGGCAGCGCTGCCGCCAACGTTGCCGGCGCGGCACATGTCGAGGTGACCATTCAGCTGGTAATCGTGCATGTTGCTCATGTTGGCAGGTAGTTTCGGTGCTGGAAGGTAAAGGAGGAGAGCAGAGACGAGGTTAGCAAAGAAAAGAAAGAAAGCATCATTCAGTTAGCTGCCTTGGCATTTGTTGTGGTTTTTGGGCTGAGTGATCCCCTGGCGTTGATCTCTAGCTGTCGCAGCTAATCAGTGTGAGAGACGAAGACCCTCGCTCTCTGGGTTCGAGCCTAACCATAATCATTGTGGGCATTGTGTGTGTGTGTGTGTTTTTTTTTTTTTTTGGGCCGTGCCTTTGACTTTTGCTCTTTGCGTGATTTTGCATTTTATTCATAATTTGACATGCGCCCCGTGGCTAAAGCCGACGATGATGAAAATAATCTCTGCCCTTTCCATAGAAGGATTTAATGTGGCTAATAGGTTTGTTTGAAAATATTGGGATTATCCTGACAGCGGGTTTGACTTTATCTTAGGCAAGAAAATAAATTTTATTTGTGGGTGGTACGGGAATTGTGTATGCTGTATTTGTATTCGGGGGTTTGACTAGTTTTAGTGAATTTTTTTTAAGGAAATGTCCCTCGTAAGGACATGTCAAACAGTTATGCCCAATTGTAGAGAATAAGCAGAAAATTGTTTTTCGTTTAGATCGAATATAAGAAATGTAACAAATCCCTAAGGTATGCCAGTTAGAGATAAATATGTAATAACATATGCATGGAAAACGTTTTTCTTCATAGAGCAGGTTTTTTCAATTAGCCTCCCAAATAACCTGCCCCAGTTTGGCGCTATACAAGCTAAATCTTTGGCAAAGCTGCAAAATGATATTGGAGCTAAATTAGAGTCTTCCAAGGTTCTTAGACTTGGTATTTGAAAAGGGCGAAATCTATAATTAATGCTAAGTATGTAATCCTTTTATTCTACGACTAGTTTCTATAGCGATCAATCAACAAATTAGTTAATAATTATAAGAAGAGAGAGAAAAGAGCTATTTAAGTTAATGGACTAAAGAAAAATATTTTAAATAAAAATTACATTAATTAACCAAATAATGAACTTTTCTGTATTGCAGCAAAAACATTTTCTTTATATTGTAGAAATTTTATTGCTGTTTTTTATACAATTTGGTTTTTGAGTTTGTTATAATGTCTTTTATCTAAAGACAATATTTTAAAACTAGATTGGTATATATTTTATTAAGTATGTATTCATAAAGATTCATGTTTTAATCAGAATTTCAAAAATAGGTTTTGAGCTAAATTTTCGATTCCAATTACATATGGGATATCCTTAATAATATTCCCTTCTAAAAAACAAAACTACTTCGAATTTTTGTAAATAAAAATGTACACAAGAAAAAACGAAATTTACAGAATATTAAACAATACTTATTGAATTCAATAAACCAGAATCTGATAAGCAAAAAACGTCCAGACGAGAGCTTTATAAACATAACTTGTAAGAACATAAAGAACATGTTGTTATTCGAATTAATGATGCTCATCTGGGGCAATTGAGTCAGCGAACGCTTTATTTTGTTCATGTACAATAAAAAATAAAAATAACTGATCCAGCCAATGGGTGGTTGTAAAAAACCTTTTCACACAATCATAAATCTAAATGAAAGTTTCATTCGAATAAATCAATTAATAAGCATTAAGTAGCAATAATGACGCGTAAGTGTTCATTATTATTGGAACGACGATTAGCCTTAAGTTAAAAGGTGACCGGCAGCTGGACTGGGCTCCAGGTAATTTACGAACAACAATATTCAAGTATTATGATCGCAAGTAGTTGGGCATTTTCTGCATTCGGCTGGGTTTTCGGCAATAGGTGACGGGCCACAATAAATCAAATAAGCGATATCATAAATAATACGAAACAAAAATAATAATAAAAAAATATGCCGTCCACGCGGAGCACGCCAATGAATGATGAATTTATGACACCTACTGCAAAAGAGAAGCCATTTGGCGGATCCAGATGGTGGCCACTGTGGCTCAATTTGCACAGTAGCGCCGGAGAGGTAGCAGGGTGAAGGGGAAGGGGAAGGGGGGTCGATAAGCCGCTGACGTTGGAAATTCAAGTCGAACTCAAAACTCCTATCGTAATGCATAAACACACTGCACACTGCACACACACAAACTCACACTCGTACAGCAGCAGGCATGTCTAAGAAAACAAGCCCAAGGATTACGTGGTGAGTGGCTTGGGCTACATTTGAATTTTCCAGCAAACAAACGGCAGCGACTGAATGTCGCATTCCGGTTATCAATGCCCCGGCATTTGGGTAATGGGTATGGGTATCGAGTATTGAGCATTGGGTATTGGGTATTGGGTATTGGGTATGGGTTACGGGCATGGAGCTGCCAGAGCATTTGCTGGTTAACTGTGCGCTCTGCTTGGTGTCGCACGGCATGTCAAACATGTCGCGGCCAGTTGGCGGCGGCACTGTCGCCTTATACTGGCGTCCGCGTCCGGCGCCAAACGATATCTACTGTGTAATATTAGTTTTAGAGAGCATTATCGGTGGATCGCTTCCACTTGAATGCATGCAATGCAGAGCTGACGTGTCGCCGCCTCTGTTGCTGCTGCTGCTGTTGCTGTTGCTGCTGCTGCTGCTGCTGTTGCCGGCGTCGGCGGCTTCGTCTCCGTCTACGCCAACTGCGACTACTGTTGACAGTGTTGAAGAAATGTACGGGCAACTCAGTTATGCTTGGACTCACCCGGTGCACATGCACAAGGCCATCCGCTGGCAGCAACTGTGTGTTTGCACGGGCGGCGGCGGCGCGGGCGAGCGGCTGCTAAGCGCCATGGTGCCATGGTGGCATGGCGCTTAAATGACACTGCTGACAATCAATGTAAACAAGAACAGAAGTTGCAGCAACAGCAGCAGCAACAACAGCTCTGAGGGTGCCCGAGTGGCTTCGGGTTGCACGTGTGCGGGTGTGCTTGCGGGGGTATGTGGCATGGAGGGCAAGGCACCATCACTTAGATGGCAACAAAGTCAATGTAATTTGATAACATCGCAACTAGCTTTAATTACAACTGCAGGTTTAACTCAATTCTTGTTGTTGACTTTTGCATAACTTTGATAAATTCTCGTGTGAAAAGAAAGTGAATGAAAGTCTCAAGTGTTTTACAACATGGCTAGCTCTGGGGATTAGTTATGAGTTGCTTAAGAGCCGGGTTAACTGATCGCGAACAATTCATCATCATGGTATCGTGATGTGATAGAATCAAACTAAAACTTGATAGATAAACTGTCTTGATGATGGCTCTATGTGCCAAAATTTATCATATCAGTTCCTTGGATTATTGTGATGTAGTATATCTACCAGGGCTGCAAACCCGAACGAACGAAAATGTTTAACAAATGGTTTGAATTAATGCGAAGCAGAAAGTTTTGGATTGAAATGCTGGTTATTCACATTTTGAACGCTGAATGTTTTTAAAATCTGGGCTTGTACCATTTCCTGCAGTTTTAAATGCAACAATTCAATTTTCATCTTTGCATTTAAGATTTAAGATTAATAAAGCAATGTCAAATTCATGCAAATATTGTCGTTTTGCTCAAACTCGTTTTGCAGACTTGATATTTTCACAACTTACAAAAACATGAAATAATGTAAATTTATCTATATTGATAAACACATTGGTTGGGTTATATACTTATATAGAATAAATGCCGAGTACTTATCTTAGAACACAGCCAATTCCAAATTTGAATAAAAGCTCATGAATAAAAATCCGAAAACTTTTATCTACAAGAAAGTCAATTTTTTATTTAGTTTCAAATAAAATTGCTTTATTAGAAATTCTAAACGGATTGTGTATAGGATTTGCACAAAAGTAAAATATATTTAAGTGCTTGCATATATAATCGAATTAAAATACAACAAATTGTTGAAAAGTGGATCTGGACAAAATCAAGTAAATTAAACTTTTTGCGTTGCCCAAACAAAGTGACTCAACAATTGGCGGCCATTTTGGTGCGATATTATCAATGGTATGATATGTAGGCGCCAGTGGCACTTTACACAGATCCCCCCCAGCCATAGGCTAGTCTGGGCATGCATTACAGAGCGGGTGAAGGGGAGGGCGGATGGGCGAGGCCGATGGCGATTAACTGGGCAGACGTCGGGCAGTGCACGAGCGTCCGATGTGGGCTCTGGCGTCTGGCAGCAGCTCAGTTGATAATGTGCCTTAATTCGAGTGCAAATAGAAAATTATATTGCAATTAAAAGTAAATTGTTTTAATTGCTTGCTCAAGCAACAGCAGACGACAATTAGCCAGTGGCTGCCTAATCGCAATCATAAATGCACGGTGGCAAAACAAATTTTGGACGATCGCGCTTTGGGCTTAGTATGTTATATTGGTGACGATTTGATTGATCACCTAGGCAGTTAAACGATTCAAAGTATATATAATTTATGGCCTGCTGTCAGTAGAAATCAAAATTGCTAAACCTTATTTGACATTCGGGACATTCGGGCAGCAACATTTCGCAATATGCGCCGAATGCGACTGTGTGCTAAGGTCAGCAGATGGTCAGATCCTGGGCCGAGTGCCAGCTGACCATAGGCCAAATAAGCGAAAGGTCAGTCAAACTAAATCCAAACAACGAATGGAATATGTGTGTTTGAGAGTGCCGCAGACCAAATACACTTACAGTGTTAATAAAATATATTTACATTTGGTATTTAAATAAATTCTTGTCAAAAATTTCTCCTTTATTTTTTTTAATAAGTGTCAGCACAATAATATAATTATTCAATTTAATATAATATAATAATTTAATATAATATGATAATTTTTTATCAAATTTAAAATATAAGATATATATTGTTTTTATTATGATTATTTCCCTATAAAATGTGATAGGCAAATGCTGTGTTTAGATAGAATGATAGTAATAGGAGATGGCAGGCCGCACACATTTGGTGACAAATTTTAAATACCCATGAAAAGGGTATTCTTATAGCTCGCAGGACTAATTGACTCATCTACCCCCTATTTAACTCTTTGGTAAACTGTGTACCATTTGAGTGC